TCAACAATTGACGCACCTTAAGTTTCAATAATTGACACACCTTAAGAAGGAAAATCACACACTTAAAGCTATAGGCCGACTCAACAATTGACGCACCTTAAGCACACAAATCACGCACCTTAAAAAGGAAAAACCACACACATAAAGTTTTAGATCGACACACTTAAGTTTTCAATAACTGACACACCTTAAGCACATAACACAAAAACCACGCACCTTAAGTACAAAAACCACGCACCTTAAATTTGACATAGATACAAAAAGATCAAATTGCCACTGTGTTTTTTTAATCATTGTTAATCATGGACGTTGATTTAGGCAAGAACAATGACTCTCATCTCACCGCACCTCCGCACCTGGGTGCACCATCCACATTTGAACCTAATTATATATATATATATATATATATATATATATATATATATATATATATATATATATATATATATATAAAATTTAGATCATATGCGAATGAAGGCTTTAGGTAAAAAAAAAAAGAGGTTAAATCTCAACTATAGATCTAGTCCAAATCAACAGTCCAGAATGAAGAAGTATATTAATGAAAAATCATGCGATGGTATTATTGTATTTATAATTTTGAGTAGATAAGTTTAGATGTTTTTGGTCTTCGAGCTCACATTTTTTCCTTCTTCAAATACATATTTTTCTTTCTTCAAATACATATATTTTGTCTCACTATATAATTAATATTCTAAAACCACTCTTCACAGAATACATACCACGAATATCTCCGCCTCCAACACCACTAGTCATCGTAATCTGGGGCGGCAATGGGCAGTTTTTTAATGAGCTCGGGGTCACGTTCGAGGAACATCTCTTGTAAAAGGTCCACATCCCATTCTTTTGTTACTGGGTTAATGAGGGAATCTACTGTTGCTTCCCCATGGGAATGTGAGATAGCGGTGGCCAAATTATCAGCATGGGTAACGGTTGGTATATATTTTGTACTGTGTATATACTATTGCTGACTATACATCTAATTATAAGAATATGGCCAGTAATATTATAAGCATCGATAAATTTATTAGAATATTATAAAGTCGGTTTTGCATGCCTACTTTGATACCCATATATTTGGCAACATTAGGATTAAATAAACATATAATTAAATAATATAATTAAAAAAAGTTAAATTTTTCTTCTTTCATTCAATTAATCAATCCGAGAGTATAAGCTTATAAGGACCACCGTTACTTTATGAGATAATGTTCAAAGCAATTTTCTAACCTGATATATATCGAGTTAGATTTTAACCTAACTTATTGAAATGAAGTCATATTTTGTTTTTATAAAATTATTAAGTTGGAAGTGAATTTTTAAAATGATATAGAGTTAACTTTTAGTTCAATTTATTGAAATTGTGTAACGTTTTTAAAAAGTCATAAAATTAACATGGGTATATCTTCTACTTATAATATATAACATTTGTATAACACTGCTGGAAAATAATCATTCAAACCTTTATACTTTATGGTAGAGCTCAATGGTTCCTAGGTTGATGTTGTCGGTGAACATCTTGTGGTTGGTGGTGTGATTTGGTATTAGGCTTTGTCGATGATGATTGGTCCTAATATTGGGACACATGTAATATGGACTCATTTACTAACTGATTTTTTTTTTTCTTTACAATTTTTCAGAAAATTGGAGAGTTTGAAGAACAGAAAACAGAAAACATGTTTACTAGCACAGTTTTTCATTTTGAAAACAATAAATAATTTTTTTTTTATTTTTTTAGAAAACTAGAAAAACTATTAAAAACTGTTTTCTAAATGAAAAACATAATCATCTATCATCTATTTGGCTATATGTCACTATAACCACATTCTCACCATTATTTACTTACATATTTATTTATTACTATGATTACATTTGTTATAATCTTCTTTTACTTATCATCACCATCTTCTATTTTTTTTTTTACTTGCAGTACTGTTGAATCCCACTTCCTGTGACAATGAAAATCACAGACTCTAACACGGTCCACAAATACGAGATAACACAATAGCCCAAAATAAATAACAATGCAAGGGACACAAGATTTACGTGAAAAACCCCAAAACCACGGGGAAAAACCACGGGACCACCACAACCAAAGTTTCCACTATCACAAATCTTGGGTACAAAGTTGCTGGCTACCACCCGAGCCAAACACCCTACAAATCATCCAAATACAATAGATCTATGCCAAAGATTTCTATAATGTTTCACAGACTTTAAAATGATACAAACTCGTACTTAAAATATTCAACTATCACGAACACGATAAAAAGAATATAAATACTACGAGATTATTCAAAAGATGTCTAGAACAAACAAGCTGACCTCCAAAAAATATTGATGAATAAAGCACCCAAGAACCTCAACAAACCTCACAAGACCGGCCAAGGAGACAAAAAGAAGTAAAAGAAACTTGGCTTTGTTTCACTGCTCTCTACTGTAATATCATGTGTGTGTGTCTAGTGGCCATCTTGCATCCAAAATTCCTAAGCATTTTTATAGGGAATGAAGTACATGAAAGGTAACAAGATGCCAAAAGTCTCTTTGTTTCCAACCCTTCATAATCCCTTATTATTATTATACATTAATAATAATAATAATTAGGGCTCAATAAAACTATATAGTGGGTACAAAAATAATTGGTCCAAACATGAGCTATTTTCCACATAGGAGGGAATCTCAACCCAACAAGTACTTATTTAAACATAACTTATTTGCTTATGTTTAAAGTTATACATTAATCATATTATCAAAATTAAAAATTGAACTACATACCAAGCGGGGTTGCAAAAATAGCGCTAGGAGGCCGCCGCGAGGAATGGCCTCGGCGGCCTCCTAAGCTGCCGGCCGGCGATTTTTTTTTTTTTTTAAATGTCGGAAAAGTTTCCGAAGACATAACTTTTGATTCAGTTGTCCGATTCAGACAATTTTTTTTTTCAAATCGCGTATTTTTTCAAATTGGAACGTTGTGTCTTACTATTTTTTAAAAAGTTTGTTCTTATTTGCACTCTTCAAAAAAATTCAACTTTTGTGGGATAGGAAAGACTATGAATTATATTATTAAGAACCAAAATTGCTGTATATATGCAGAGCTTGTTAATAACCAATGTATTAATGCGGATACATATGCATAGTTTTTAACATTGTTTTAAAACAGCTCATATCTTGATGTGTTTAGCGTTTCAAATTAACAATTATTATGTGATGAATGTGTCTAGGCTCTGGACAAGATCCGATTTGAAAGTTTGACTGACAAGAGCAAACTAGATGCTCAACCTGAGCTCTTCATCCACATTGTCCTGGACAAAACTAACAATACACTGTCCATTATTGACAGTGGTGTTGGTATGACAAAGGCTGGTAAGTGAATGTGCCAAATTTTGTGTTTTTTTTTTTTTTTTTGTGTGTTCTATTTGCTTCTTATTGTTGCTCATGCTGATTGTCTACTTTTTTTTTTTTTTTTTTTTTTTTTTTTTAGACCTGGTGAACAATCTTGGTACAATTGCAAGGTCTGGGACCGAAGAATTCATGGAAGTTCTTACGGCTGGTGCTAATGTTAGCATGATTGGACAGTTTGGGGTTGGGTTCTACCAAGCAGGGTTGCAAAAATCGCGCCTAGGCGCCGATTAATCGGCGCCTACGCGCTAGGCGCTAGGAGGCCGCCGCGAGGAATATAATGGCCTCGGCGGCCTCCTACGCGGCCGGCTGGCTAGGCGGTCTAGGCGGCCGCCTTGACCGCCTAAACGGCCGGCTCGGCGGTTTGGCGAATTATTATTATTATTATTTTTTTTTTGAATGTCGGAAAAGTTTCGGAAAGCATAACTTTTGACTCGATTGTCCGATTCGGACAATTTTTTTTTTCAAATCGCGTATTTTTTCGAATTGGAACGTTGTGTCTTACTATTTTTTAAAAAGTTTGTTCTTATTTGCACTCTTCAAAAAAATTCAACTTTTGCGGGATAGGAAAGACTATGAATTATATTATTAAGAACCAAAATTGCTGTATATATGCAGAGCTTGTTAATAACCAATGTATTAATGCGGATACATATGTATAGTTTTTAACATTGTTTTAAAACAGCTCATATCTTGATGTGTTTAGCGTTTCAAATTAACAATTATTATGTGATGAATGTGTCTAGGCTCTGGACAAGATCCGATTTGAAAGTTTGACTGACAAGAGCAAACTAGATGCTCAACCTGAGCTCTTCATCCACATTGTCCCTGACAAAACTAACAATACACTGTCCATTTTTGACAGTGGTGTTGGTATGACAAAGGCTGGTAAGTGAATGTGCCAAATTTTGTGTTTTTTTTTTTTTTTTGTGGGTTCTATTTGCATCTTATTGTTGCGCATGCTGATTGTCTACTTTTTTATTTGTTTTTTTAGACCTGGTGAACAATCTTGGTACAATTGCAAGGACTGGGACGAAAGAATTCATTGAAGCTCTTACGGCTGGTGCTGATGTTAGCATGATTGGACAGTTTGGAGTTGGGTTCTACCAAGCAGGGTTGCAAAAATCGCGCCTACGCGCCGATTAATCGGCGCCTATGCGCTAGGCGCTAGGAGGCCGCCGCGAGGAATGGCCTCGGCGGCCTCATACGCGGCCGGCCGGTTCAGCGATTCGGCGAATTATTAATATTATTATTATTATTTTTTTGAATGTCGGAAAAGTTTCGGAAGGCATAACTTTTGACTCGGTTGTCCGATTCGGACAATTTTTTTTTTCAAATCGCGTATTTTTCGAATTGGAACATTGCGTCTTACTATTTTTTAAAAAGTTTGTTCTTATTTGCACTCTTCAAAAAAATTCAACTTTTGTGGGATAGGAAAGACTATGAATTATATTATTAAGAACCAAAATTGCTGTATATATGCGGAGCTTGATAATAACCAATGTATTAATGCGGATACATATGCATAGTTTTTAACATTGTTTTAAAACAGCTCATATCTTGATTTGTTTAGCGTTTCAAATTAACAATTATTATGTAATGAATGTGTCTAGGCTATGGACAAGATCCGATTTGAAAGTTTGACTGACAAGAGCAAACTAGATGCTCAACCTGAGCTCTTCATCCACATTGTCCCTGAAAAAACTAACAATACACTGTCCATTATTGACAGTGGTGTTGGTATGACAAAGGCTGGTAAGTGAATGTGCCAAATTTTGTGTTTTTTTTTTTTTTTTTTTTTTTTTTTTTTTTTTTTTTTTTTTTGTGTGTGTGTGTTCTATTTGCTTCCTATTGTTGCTCATGCTGATTGTCTACTTTTTTATTTGTTTTTTTTAGACTTGGTGAACAATCTTGGTACAATTGCAAGGTCTGGAACCAAAGAATTCATGGAAGCTCTTACGGCTGGTGATGATGTTAGCATGATTGGAAACTTTGGAGTTGGGTTCTACCAAGCAGGGTTGCAAAAATCGCGCCTAGGCGCTAGGCGCTAGGAGGCCGCCGCAAGGAATGGCCTCGGCGGCCTCCTACGCGGCCGGTCGCCTAGCCTGCAGGCTAGGCGGTCTAGGCGATTTTTTTTTTTTTTTAAATGTCGGAAAAGTTTCGGAAGGCATAAATTTTGACTCGGTTGTCCGATTCGGACAATTTTTTTTTTTAAATCGCGTATTTTTTCAAATTGGAACGTTGTGTCTTACTATTTTTTAAAAAGTTTGTTCTTATTTGCACTCTTCAAAAAAAATCAACTTTTGGGGGATAGGAAAGACTATGAATTATATTATTAAGAACCAAAATTGCTGTATATATATGCGGAGCTTGTTAATAATCAATGTATTAATGCGGATACATATGCATAGTTTTTAACATTGTTTTAAAACAGCTCATATCTTGATGTGTTTAGCGTTTAAAATTAACAATTATTATGTGATGAATGTGTCTAGGCTCTGGACAAGATCCGATTTGAAAGTTTGACTGATAAGGGCAAACTAGATGCTCAACCTGAGCTCTTCATCCACATTGTCCCTGAAAAAACTAACAATACACTATCCATTATTGACAATGGTGTTGGTATGACAAAGGCTGGTAAGTGAATGTTCCAAAATTTGTGTTTTTTTTTTGTGTGTTCTATTTGCTTCTTATTGTTGCTCATGCTAATTGTCTACTTTTTTATTTATTTTTTTAGACCTGGTGAACAATCTTGGTAAAATTGCAAGGTCTGGGACCAAAGAATTCATGGAAGCTCTTACGGCTGGTGCTGATGTTAGCATGATTGGACAGTTTGGAGTTGGGTTCTACCAAGCAGGGTTGCAAAAATCGCGCCTAGGCGCTAGGCGCTAGGAGGCCGCCGCGAGGAATGGCCTCGGCGGCAGGCCGCCTAGATCGCTTAACCGGCCGGTTCGGCGAATTTTTTTTTTTTTTTAAATGTCGGAAAAGTTTCAGAAGGCATAACTTTTGACTCGGTTGTCCGATTCAGATAATTTTTTTTTCAAATCGCTCGAATTGGAACGTTGTGTCTTACTATTTTTTAAAAAGTTTGTTCTTATTTGCACTCTTCAAAAAAATCAACTTTTGGGGGATAGGAAAGACTATGAATTATATTATTAAGAACCAAAGTTGCTGTATATATATGCGGAGCTTGTTAATAATCAATGTATTAATGCGGATACATATGCATAGTTTTTAACATTGTTTTAAAACAGCTCATATCTTGATGTGTTTAGCGTTTCAAATTAACAATTATTATGTGATGAATGTGTCTAGGCTTTGGACAAGATCCGATTTGAAAGTTTGACTGACAAGAGCAAACTAGATGCTCAACCTGAGCTCTTCATCCACATTGTCCTGGACAAAACTAACAATACACTGTCCATTATTGACAGTGGTGTTGGTATGGCAAATGCTGGTAAGTGAATGTGCCAAATTTTGTGTTTTTTTTTTTGTGGGTTCTATTTGCTTCTTATTGTTGCTCATGCTGATTGTCTACTTTTTTATTTGTTTTTTTAGACCTGGTGAACAATCTTGGTACAATTGCAAGGTCTGGGACCAAAGAATTCATTGAAGCCCTTACGGCTGGTGCTGATGTTAGCATGATTGGACAGTTTGGAGTTGGGTTCTACCAAGCAGGGTTGCAAGAATCGCGCCTACGCGCTAGGCGCTAGGAGGCCGCCGCGAGGAATGGCCTCTGCGGCCTCATACGCGGCCGGCCGGCTAGGCGGTCTTGGCGGCCGCCTAGACTGCCTAACCGGCCGGTTTAGCGATTCGGCGAATTATTATTATTATTATTATTTTTTTTTTTTTTGAATGTCGGAAAAGTTTCGGAAGGCATAACTTTTGACTCGGTTGTCCGATTCGGACAATTTTTTTTTTCAAATCGTGTATTTTTTCGAATTGGAACGTTGTGTCTTACTATTTTTTAAAAAGTTTGTTCTTATTTGCACTCTTCAAAAAAATTCAACTTTTGTGGGATAGGAAAGACTATGAATTATATTATTAAGAACCAAAATTGCTGTATATATGCAGAGCTTGTTAATAACCAATGTATTAATGCGGATACATATGCATAGTTTTTAACATTGTTTTAAAACAGCTCATATCTTGATGTGTTTAGCGTTTCAAATTAACAATTATTATGTGATGAATGTGTCTAGGCTCTGGACAAGATCCGATTTGAAAGTTTGACTGACAAGAGCAAACTAGATGCTCAACCTAAGCTCTTCATCCACATTGTCCCTGACAAAACTAACAATACACTGTCCATTATTGACAGTGGTGTTGGTATGACAAAGGCTGGTAAGTGAATGTGCCAAATTTTGTGTTTTTTTTTTTTGTGTGTTCTATTTGCTTCCTATTGTTGCTCATGCTGATTGTCTACTTTTTTATTTGTTTTTTTTAGAACTGGTGAACAATCTTGGTACAATTGCAAGGTCTCGGACCAAAGAATTCATGGAAGCTCTTACGGCTGGTGCTGATGTTAGCAGGATTGGACAGTTTGGAGTTGGGTTCTACCAAGCAGGGTTTCAAAAATCGCGCCTAGGCGCTTGGCGCTAGGAGGCCGCCGCGAGGAATGGCCTCGGCGGCCTTCTACGCGGCCGGCCGCCTAGCCTGCCGGCTAGGCGGTCTAGGCGATTTTTTTTTTTTTTTTTAAATGTCGGAAAAGTGTCGGAAGGCATAACTTTTGACTCGGTTGTCCGATTCGGACAATTTTTTTTTTCAAATCGCGTATTTTTTCAAATTGGAACGTTGTGTCTTACTATTTTTTAAAAAGTTTGTTCTTATTTGCACTCTTCAAAAAAATTCAACTTTTGTGGGATAGGAAAGACTATGAATTATATTATTAATAATCAAAATTGCTGTATATATATGCAGAGCTTGATAATAACCAATGTATTAATGCGGATACATATGCATAGTTTTTAACATTGTTTTAAAGCAGCTCATATCTTGATGTGTTTAGCGTTTCAAATTAACAATTATTATGTGATGAATGTGTCTAGGCTCTGAACAAGATCCGATTTGAAAGTTTGACTGACAAGGGTAAACTAGATGCTCAACCTGAGCTCTTCATCCACATTGTCCCTGAAAAAACTAACAATACACTATCCATTATTGACAGTGGTGTTGGTTGACAAAGGCTGGTAAGTGAATGTTCCAAATTTTGTGTTTTTTTTTTTTTTTTTTTTTGTGTGTTATATTTGCTTCTTATTGTTGATCATGCTGATTGTCTACTTTTTTATTTATTTTTTTAGACCTGGTGAACAATCTTGGTAAAATTGCAAGGTCTGGGACCAAAGAATTCATGGAAGCTCTTACGGCTGGTGCTGATGTTAGCATGATTGGACAGTTTGGAGTTGGGTTCTACCAAGCAGGGTTGCAAAAATCGTGCCTAGGCGCTAGGAGGCCGCCGCGAGGAATGGCCTCGGCGGCCTCATACGCGGCCGGCCGCCTAGATCGCCTAACCGGCCGGTTCGGCGAATTTTTTTTTTATAAATATCGGAAAAGTTTCAGAGGGCATAACTTTTGACTCGGTTGTCCGATTCAGACAATTTTTTTTTTCAAATTGCGTATTTTTTTAAATTGGAACGTTGTGTCTTACTATTTTTTAAAAAGTTTGTTCTTATTTGCACTCTTCAAAAAAATTCAACTTTAGTGGGATAGGAAACACTATGAATTATATTATTAAGAACCAAAATTGCTGTATATATGCAGAGCTTGTTAATAACCAATGTATTAATGCGGATACATATGTATAGTTTTTAACATTGTTTTAAAACAACTCATATCTTGATGTGTTTAGCGTTTCAAATTAACAATTATTATGTGATGAATGTGTCTAGGCTCTGGACAAGATCCGATTTGAAAGTTTGACTGACAAGAGCAAACTAGATGCTCAACCTGAGCTCTTCATCCACATTGTCCCTGACAAAACTAACATTACACTGTCCATTATTGACAGTGGTGTTGGTATGACAAAGGCTGGTAAGTGAATGTGCCAAATTTTGTGTTTTTTTTTTTTTTTTTTTTTTTTTTTTTTTTTTTGTGTTCGAGATCTATACACCGCAAACTGCCAAAGGCGGTTTGGTCCACTAATTTCTCAAAAAAATGCTTCTTTAACTCTTAATTTTAGTTTTTTATGTATTTAGATGGTTTAAACAATCTTTTGAACTATTTTTCAACCACTTTTGTAAATAGTTTCTAAGAAATAACTATGAAAACCTTATGTTTTAGTACTAAATTTTGAAAATTTTTATTTTTTAATTTTTTTAATTAAAAAAATTAAAAAAAAAAAAATCGGCGCCTAACGTTTTTTTGCAACATTGATACCGAGTTTTATATTTTGATTGAACTCAATTGATTATTGGTTCGGATATTTTTAGTTATATTATATCGTAGTAAAAGTTTGGTCCGGATATCGGATTTGAAATTTCACATACATTACCATATTAGAATTCAAAGTAAAAATTATATATTTATATACATGTCATTCAAATGAATATATCCAAAAATATTTTAAATATTAGCTAAAAAATATTAATATTATCTAAACTAAATTTTAGGTGAGCTTAATTAATAGGTTATTGGTTCAAATATATTTTTAATTATGCTATATACTGATATAAACTTGGTTCGGATATTAATGTAAAATCTTACATATATTGGACTTACAAGTAAAAACTATATATATTCTATTTAAACCAAATATATTTTAAAATATTTTAAATATAAGGTCTAAAAATCACTCAAAATTAAACTTGTGTTAAATTCAAAAAAAATAAATTTTGGTTATGGATGTATGATTCTTTTTCACAAGTAATTGAAAAAATATAAAATTTATTCTTTTTGACAACATATTACAAAATTGTCTTATAAATATATCGTATTTGTCTCTCCTGATTGATGTTGTTTTCCCCAGTTTAAGAAACATAACATTTCACTATTGAAGAGAAGATCTCAATTGTTAATTCACCATAGAAGATTGCTATTCACCAAAAAAAAAAAAAGTACATACGCCCTTGAACTTTTTTTTTTTTTTTTTTTTTTTTGGGTGGGGAGCGGGGTGGGGCAAATTTTCTTTTGTACCTATTCTGCTACCGAAGAATATGTATGTATATATGTATGTTTGCAAGGAATTGAAGGAAATAAATAAAAACGGCGATCTATTAGTTTTTAGGAAATTATTATGAAGACTCCCATGATAAAAATAATCTATTGTCTGCCACACATCTGAAAGTAAAAGTGAAAAAGTAGAATTTAAGAATATATATAACACAACTCTAGTTTTAATTAACCTGGTCAGAACTTGTCTGTATAAAAATAAGAAGGGGAGAAGTATAAAAATAAAATTTTGAAAAAAAAATTGAAAACACATATAATATACGGAGTAATATTAATTATATTGTTACATCAATCCATCTAGTTAGGTAGGTTCCTAATTAATTAATATTTATTTAATTTAATTAATGCACATTGGTCCTACCTGATTAAAGTAAACACTTGGCCTAAATATAAAAAGCCCAGAGACGACTCTATCCCTAAGTTACGTTGAGAGAAGCTGGAAAAACAATATCGCGTTCAGCATGAAGGTATGTATATATGTCTCTTTCCCAACAAATACAAATCTCCATCTTTTTAAGGTTTTATAAAAGTGATGATTGATTGGAATGAAAACGCATTTTTGTGATTGGATATAGCAAAAGATCACGATCAGTCTGCCGATAAACGTGGATAAATGTCGGGCAAAGGCTATGAAAATTGCAGTGGGTGTTGCAGGTAATTTGAATGTTGAAACAATTATTAATATATATAGCGTCATATATATATTTTGAGTGATGAGGAAACCTATAGTCACTGAGATTGTGTATTGAGTAAGCTTTCTGATCTTAACCAGCAAAGGATTATAGAAACCAGTCTAGATTATGCATAGTTGATCAATTTAAATCAGTGAAGCCAATATGCAACTTTCATTAGAATCAAGCTTGTAACATTGTGATTAATTACCAAGTCAACAATCTAACCAACTTGGCTAAACTGTTCCATAGTTTTAATTGTACATATTCATGTAGGAGTGGATTGGTTAAATTTTTGAGTGATGAGAGAAACCTTGCCGTCGCTATGGATAAATTTCACTTTGTAACCCTTACTAACAAAGGAGTTTTTCATAGCTGAACGACTCAAACTTAAAAGGCCAACCTAACAGGCCACTTGTAACGACCTTAGGTTGTGATTATCAAATCAAAAGTCTGACTAACTTGGTTGGGTTATGCGTGCAGGAGTGATCTCGGTTAACATAGATGAAGCGAAAAGCCAATTGGTGGTGATCGGTGTGGGGGTTGATTCATTTGTGTTGATAAAATGCTTGAAGAAGAAATTCAAATGTGCCAGCATTTTCTCCATTGAAGAAGTGAAACCACCACCACCACCAGCGAAGGATGGTGATAAGAAGAAAGATGGTGATAAGAAAGATGGTGAAAAGAAAGATGGTGATAAGAAGGATGGTGACAAGAAGGATGGTGATAAGAAGAAGGAAGGAGAGAAGAAGAAAGGTGATGATTGCTGTAAACCTTGTCCTTGTCCTTGTCCTCCCCCTAATCCATGCTTGCAGTACTACCCGGTTTGCCAACCCGTTTATGACCCATATCCACAAACCGGCTGCTCCATTCTTTGAAGTCTTGAAAATGGAGTAAACTTCAAGAAACAAAACTTTGACTTCATTTAATTTCTACCATTCTATCTCTCCCAACAATTTGTTAATAAAACTCACTTTGCATTTTTCTTCCAAAAGACTGAACCCCAATCCTAAGGGCCCCCACACCTCGACCCGACAGAGCATTTGAGAGGAAACTCACTTTGCATTATTGTATGGTTGTATGGTTGTGTTTATTTTAAATTTCTATTTTGCTTTTCAAATTTTAACTTCTCTAGTTCCGTGGTTTCCAGATGTACAAGAAAATGTATTCTTTTTTTATTTCTTTAAAAATTAAAGATTTTCTCCCGTCGTTAATAAATGCATTATTGTATATGTCAAAATGCTATCATTTTTCAACTATACATACACTACGATGTTCAAGTAAGTGTGGAAATGATGACTTAAGAATGGTGATATTGTTTATTATTATAAATGGTCCAAATATAAGTTCAAGTTGAAAAGACTTCGGTGGGCTCTAAATAAGTCGGGAAGTGTACAAGGTTTCAAGAGCCGGATCTCTTCATAGGTTAGGAAAGGTAATATTTATAGTTTGGAGGTTGGAATAGGCTGGGAAAGCACTATTTATATATTTGGAGATGGGACACGTAGGTGTTGGATCGGAGATCAGATCATCTAATAATTAAGTTAGGTCATTTGAGACACGTGTAAGGCAGTGATGTAACCTTCAAGACAACGAGGTCAATCACAACACATTATTTATGGAGGTTTGCTTCTTGGTATCTAAGGTTGGTCGGCTTATTCGTGCTATATACATCCCATATTATATGCCATTAGGTACAATACCATAAAATATAATCGAAATTTTATTATATGTTGACATAAAATTTCATATATAATTTTTGTTCTTCCGGTTTATTGTGTGCTATAGTTGGATTGGTGGGAGTAAATTTTTTAATTTCAATCTACAAATCATTTTGTGTTTGGTATAGCCGACAAATATTTTATTTAAAATTTTAAAAGCCACATCTCATTTTATGAATAATAGTTTATTTCACTGCATAACAATTACTTTATATTCCATATATTTTTTAGTTGCTAGCAGCCTGTCATAGCATTACGGTTTAACTTCAAATTAGATAATTTATTTTCATCTAATTTTTTGTGTTTCATGATTCATGACAAATAATTTTGACTCGTTGCAGTATAATCTTCTCTCGAACGATTCACAAATTTGGATTAATATGTATTTTACCAAACTCGTTCAATTTTTTCAAAAAAAACTCGCTCATTGAGCTCAAATAGACAATTTATTGTTAAGTTGTTCTAATCGTATTATCTTTTTTATGTTGATAGTTATTTAATGTACTGTAACATTATAACAACTTTGTGGGGTTGGATGTATGTCATGTTTTTCAGCTTAAAATGAAATAGATTAGATAAGCAAAATCGCAATTTTCTAACATATTAAATTTGATATAAACCTACAAATTGTACCCAAAACAGGCCAAAAGGAAGACACATATATGCTAGAAGTTGGCATCAAAGTAAACCATGCGCTGCATACTTAAAAGAATATTTGAATTGCTCCGAGAGGGGCGACTAAGTATGTGAAGTATGATTCTCGTAGCAGAAGATCACAAGTTCAATTCTTGCCAATACCTTCCCGATTGAGTCTGTCTCATATGATCTTCTTAGAACAATTTATCTCTCATATGTGATTTACATATTGTTATACAGGAGTAGAATTTACCTAATGCACACCATCCAATAGTGCTTGCAAGTTTCTCATTATTGACAAAATGGGCTTGGCTCACTAGTTCAGTAGACATTATTTGGAAGAAAAGACTCAGGTTCGACCCTCGGTATCTATCCACATTGTGGGGATTATGTTCAAAGTGGACAAATTCTTTGTGTGCACCGATATTTGGTCATGTTTACTGAATCACTGAATCACCATGATTTACATCATTCCAAATGCTCTGTCAGACCGGAGCATGGAGACTCTTGAAAATGGGGATTCAACTTTTTGGAAGAAGAACTTCTCTCATTATTTAAAGAATATTCGAACTAGAGGATATGGACTACTATGGATGAAATTTAAAGGTCAAAGCTAAGGTATGTGCATGATTTATTAATTAGTAATCAATTTGGATTGTGCAAGCCATTAAACAATTTTAACATCTTTAATTTATTTGTAATTTTGTATAAGTCCTCGCGGGGCCATATGAAAATTAATTAAATAGACTTATTCAATTCGTAGCAATACTCCATATAAAAAGATTGTCTGGCCTGCTGGAATAATTTCCTCAAGTGTACCCCACTATAAAAGACTTTGAAAATCACTTCCTTTCACTTACAAGGTGGGCACGGTTTCAAAACTGTTCATAATTTATAAATATAAAGTTAAAAAATTATGAACATATAGTTTTATAATTATAAACATAGAGTTATCAACATAGAGTTCTATAATTATGAATATTGAGTTCAGTAATTATGAATATAGAGTTTAATAATTGTGAATATGAAATTCAAAAATTATGAACATAAAGTTCAATAATTAATTTTTCAAAAAAAAAAAATTCAGTAATTATGAACATAAAAGTGACCTTGTCACGGCATAACAATCCTTTCATGGGTATTGTTATCATTTTGTTTAGCCCCGTGACATAATGAAAAATGACTCCTAATATAATGTACGAACATTTTTTTTTTACTCCAAAAAATTCGCGTCTATATTTTTTGCCTTTTCGACTTTTCATCGTGTGTGTATTAATTCTATTATTGAGAATTTAATAATTTAAAAAGTTGTAATGGTTAATTGAAATGAATATTAGAGAATAATTTTGAAGCTATTGATTTAAATATTTATTATTTTTTTTTAAAAAGAAAAAATTAAAACTTAATTAAAAGATAAAATTAAACTCCAGAGCTTGAGAGTTGGGACCACCCTTGCTTAGGGGGGGCTTGGTTTGTTTTGATAAATTTTAATTAAATGAATAGACTAGGATGGAGATTTTAACCAATATAATGGAATAATGAATATAAAGATTCCACAAACCAAAGATACACACATCAGGATTTAATAATCACATTATTAAAATCAAAATCTTAATTTTCTAAACTACTTAGTTTTTTTTTTTTTTTTTTTTTTGATAAGAAACTACTTAGTTGATTGAGAAGACTTTGCAATAGCATTCCGTAGTTGACTACAAGTCAACTTTTTGTTGACCCACTATTTGAGTTCAACGACTTACACGAGCAATTTGGGATTATTGATAAAAATATAAATTTTGAGGATAATGACACTTTAATCCCTCAATTATAAAAGTTGTGTATAATTTTGTCACTTTGATAATGATTGAATCACTAAGACTCTGTTTTGCAGCTTATTTAGGAGCTTATAACTTATTTTAAACTACTAACAAATTATAAACTTTGTTTCGTAATGTTCTCAAAATAAGCTAAAAGTTTAAAATAAGAACTTATTTTATGTAGCATTTCAAAAATAAGCTAATAGCTTCTTAATTTTTTTTTTAAATCTTTATCTTTATTATTTTAAATAAATGACATTATTTACCCTTCCAATTTAAACTATTTTGGCCTTTATTTTTATTCATCATCTTTCGCAACTCTTTCGCCGCCCAGCAATTCAAGTTCCAACTCCAATCGTCCGTTCATAAGTCTATTGATCCTCCGACAAATATATATATATATATATATATATATATATATATATATATATATATATATATATATATATATATATATATATATATATATATATATATATATATATAGCCTCTCTCCTCCACCGCTCCACCACCGTCATTGATTCCCGTATGCATAGAGAGAGATAGAGAATGCGAATTTGTCGAGAGGAAGAACAATATGTGAATTTGTATATATACTGTATACAACTAAACATTCATTGGCTTAAGATCCTGGTATGATTTTTTATTTTTTAAAATATTTGCAACTAAACAGTCATTGTGTTCTTTGTTTACAAATTATATGTCCTCTTGTTTTTATTTTCTTCGCAATGAGGTTTTGATTTGAAAATACTTGTAGGTCTATTTGAGTGTGACATGTAACCAGGGCCGGCCCCAGGGCCCGCGCACAGGGCCCCCAAATTTTGGACGCCCCATATTTAAAAATAAAAAATAAAAAATTAGTGTATATATACATCAGCAGCTGCGACTAAGCGACAAACTCAAAACCTATCCTAAATCCCTAATCTAGCGCCTAGCGGCAGATAGAGATTAGAGACTAGAGAGTATCGTTCTATACGGATTACACGTACGTTAATTCTAACATTCTGTAGTGTTAATTTTTCAAATTTCAATTGCATTATTTGCGTTATTGAGGCTAAGCTACTGTAGTGTTAATTCTTCAAATTTGAATTGCATTCTTAATTCTTGGTTGTTTGTATTCTTTATCTAGTAATTTAAATATTCAATTTGGTTGTTTATTTGTATTTTTTTTATCATACAAACTCTCAAGTTATTCAATTTTCTTGATAGGTAATTAAAATTACATATTGCTTCATAATTCTTGTTTATTGTTTTATTTACATGAATTAATAATTCTAATTTCGCTTTTATTTGACATATATGATCCAAGAAATTGGGATGCCGTTATTCTAAATTAATAGATATTCTTATGAAAGATGGTCCTAAAAAAGACTTATCAATAAATAAAGGTCCTAAAGATAAATTGTCTAGAAGATTTTTATCTGCATTTTACACAAGATATTTGCCAAAAGGAGATGAGTGTGATCGAGATTGGCTTGTATATTCAAAAGAACTTGACAAGGTGTTTTGTTTTTGCTGCAAGATTTTTTTTTTAAAAAAAAAAAAAAGTATACGAAAAGGTGTTTTGGTCAATGAAGGTTTTATGGACTGGACACATCTTGGTCTTAGACTTAAAAGAGCATGAAACGAGTGTAGATCATATAACTAATATGACAACTTGGATGGAGTTGCGTCTTAGATTACAAAAAAATGAGACAAGTGATAAACGAGTGTAGATCATATAATGATCAAGTATGTTGCAAGACAAATTCAATGGATTAGCTTTAATCTCTATTAAAAAATGAGATTTTGGAAGAAGTTGATATCAAAAGTTTGGTGGATGATTCTGCGTCTAAGTGTGCCGTTGTACATGGCGCGTGTCACTTTTTAAATAAAATTTTAAATGTATTTAATTTTTTATACAATATTTATGTTTGAATTTTTTACACAACTTTTTGAAAACCTATTATTTATATATAGAAATAACTTGAAAAAAGGGCCCAAATTAAGATATTGCACAAGACCCCACTTTTTATTGGAACGGCCTG